ATAAACAGACAGTAATGTTTAAGAGTATAATCAGAGGGATCGAGCGTCAATATAATGTGAAGTAGCAGAGGGATTTTTCTTCAAAAATAAGTGGTCTTTGAAACTAAAAGGAGTATTTTCAAGTCCCTCCACCTTGCTGAAATTATTTTTAGCTTTATGCATGGTACTGTATCTTTTTTTTATTATTACTATTAGTTCTTCTCCCAAAGCTTAATCCCATAACAAAGATCGTTCCAAAAAAAAGAAGAGTTGCTCCACATGTTTTTCAGTGGTCGAACATAACATCAGGGCTCTCGCAATAGAAAAAAGAAAAAGATATATGTTTGTTTTCAAAAGTATGTACATATATATTTCTATTCAAATATATAGCAAATATATGAATATTGAAAAAAATGCAGAGAAATATAAAAGCCGTTCTAATTGAAAATATATATAAAAGATCACAAGACAATCGCTCAGAGTGAAAAAAATTGCCAGAAGAGAAGAAGGAAAAAGAAGAGTGAAGTTTAAACGGGTAGCACAACCATGGGCAGAAGATCTTAGAGCGAAAGGAAGTTGTGTGAAAGAAAATTAAGTGGTGAAACTGAGGTTTGAACCCCTTGTGATTTTGTAAATGTTCAAAGCTGTACCGCCTGTGCAGCAGGTAGCAGCTGAAAGGACAAGCACAGTAAAGTCAAATTATAGTGTGAGATTGTGTCGCTGGTTAACTGTGGTTTATGGCTCAGTGCAGAAAGTGTGGTGTTGAAAAAGAAAACAGTATAACGAGGACAGTCTATACAGTGAGAATCTTGTATTATGTTGTATTGTACCTTCTGAAGGTGTGTTCACAAACTCAATGCCATTACCTATAATTATAATTAATGACAACAAACAACCAACAAGTATTTCTGTTTCCTATCTGTGTCACAGCAAGTCATTCCCAAACTCCAGGAGTGCAGTCCAATGAGCATACCACACAGTGGCGTTTAAAAACTGCTTCTAAATGTATCCATGCTCCCTTTCGTTTGAAAACTAGCCAGGAGAGATATGTATTGTTGCTTTTTGTTGCTAATGGTTACGATGCCTTTTCTTTTAGCTTTCACATTTCAAGTTATGCAAATACTTGTCTTCAGAAAAACAAGAGTTTGGGAATGGGGCAGGCCTGCTTTCACAACCAGGGGCTTCCTTACTCCAGTTGTATGGATATTGGTTGGAATGATGAAATAAAGTTCTGTCCAACCTGCTTTCCCCAGTTCTTCAGTGAAGTTGCTTCTACCGTATAACACCGATCCTCTGTCAGTTTGCTTAAAGTAAATGTAATGTCTGTCTTTAAAGAAAATTCCACCCTCCAAACATTTCCAGAATTCTAGTAGGCCATAAATGTCCATGTAACATTTTGCCATTACATATAATATGTGTTTTAACATTTAGCTTATTTTGATACTTTATAGCAGATGTTCTTTATTTTTTTGTCCACCCAAACATATGAACAATGAATTGCTTTCAATGCATTTTACAAAGCATACTTACATAGTAAGGAACATGCTAATCATACTCAAATTTCCATTTTAATATTAATGATAATACATGAGTTTTAGAAGTTTATGTATCAAATAGCGAGTATAGAAAAGATAAAATCACTAACATTTATTAAGGGAAAAAAAACAATCCACTGGATAAAGTGGTCCTCATATTTTATTCTTATTTCTCTTATTATATTTGGACAGCTTTTCAGCTTACGAAAGCTGGGGTGGATTTTTCCTTAAAATACAACAACATACTTTCAAACTGACTTTGCCTGTGTTTGTAAGGCCAACTTCACACGTTCCACTTCCCCAACGTTTTACCCATCTGCCAATCAATCAGAACCCCGTCTCCACCCCCACTGTTCCCCGTTGTCCACTTATACAGCTTATGTTTTACTCCATAATAGAAGACTTGTGTACATAGGAAAGTGTTTTGTATAAATGAGTACTATTTTCGACATCTTCACTAGAAACCAGGGCACAATGTAAACTTTGAACTGAAGCTATTGTAATGAAACAGAAGAGGACTTAACGGCAAGACTATAAAATTATACAGACACCGCTTTATCTTGATTTATGGACCAGTTAAAACGTGTCAGAGTGGACCATGCATAATTAAAAAAAATATATTGTTTTCTTCTTTTACAGGGCATTTGGTTGAGTTGTCTCCTTTTTTTTGTTTTGTTGATTTTTTTTTTAATATTATTGTAATTTAGTTTGTTTTTACTTTGTCACAGAATTTAGAGTTTGCTTTTTTTTAAAATCATTAATAAATTATTAATCCACATTTGTGGGGAGGGGAGCAGCATTGCATGTACTGAAAATTTTGCTGGTTATAAAAGAAAAAGGAAAATGGTGAATTGACCAATTTAAAAGGGGATTACTGAAACCATTTTCAAAATTTAGAGATTGTTCCTTAAACTTTTATGGGGAAACATTGCTTCAATTTGCAATTGCTTGCGTTTAACTCTACATTTTCTTTTCTATGAAAACAAAACAAAAATGGGAAAAAAAGAGTACTCAACACCTTGTGCAATAAAGCTATCTTTTTATAAACTGTGATGATATTGTTTATTGGCGACTTGCTGTTGAATGTTGAATCTTAACTATTTCTTCTGTTTAAGGAAAAATCATAAGAAGTGTGAATTTTTCAGCCATGGGGACATGTCTGCTGTTGTTGATAGAGGAGGTTAAAAGCCAAATTTAACCTTTGCAAAGCCCCAAGACTTGTGTGAAAAAGGTCAAATGTGAACCAAGCCTGGAGAAATCTGTGCTCTTTTGTCTCATCTCAAACTAGTAATAGAAACTTTACTGTAAATTGTAAATTGTCTTTAACTCTCCAGAGAACCAAGGAGTTTGAAATGAGGTGAAAAGTACATTTTGTTTTATTATAGACAAAATATCGCCTATAAAACTTGACATTTTTTTAAGACTGCCCAAATTGTTTAATCATCTTACTTCACTTTTTTCAGCTAACTTTATTTAAAAAATAAATAAATAAACACAGCAAGGTAATATGATTGGCTTTTATGTTGCTCTGAACAAGTAATTATTAATATTTGGAATATTTTGCAGTTCCTGAGTAATTACTTTCATGATATCTAAGTGTACTTAAATGCTTATTTTCGTCAGCATCTCCATACAGCCCCTTTAAACTACATGGAGTCATGCATGTTAGCTTTTACAGCTAGTACTGCACTTTGACTAATGTGTAGTGCTTAAAAAATTTACAAGATATACCTTATACCTTACCCAATGTAAGATTTATGCCACACAATTAAAATCTGATCATTTAAAATTATTTTCTTTTAAATTATGTAATCATTAATCCACCAGTATGCTCAAGCTCTTTAATCAAAATGATATTTTTGATACTAAAATATAATTTTTGTTCTTATCTATGAATTGTCAGATTTAATTAATTAATAAAAATATGCTTAAAAATATAGTCAATTACATTATTAATTTTTTATTAAGATGCTTAATTTCTGACTCCTAAAGCAAGCTCAAATTTGGATATAAAAACATACATTCTGTTTGTTTGCCTAATAAATAACAATATACTTTTTTATATAAGTTTTTCAACAAGTTTTTGACAGATTTGAAACATTTTAGTGTTTTCATGTTAATAATAAATGTAAGCACCATCCAACCAGAAGGATTTATTCATAGTTGTCTCTCTGGGTTGTCTCTGTGGTAGAAAACTGACCTGTTCTGGGTGAACTTCATTTCTCAGTATGAAATCTGCTATAGGTTTCAGACCTGGGAAACTGACCAGCCTAATATTCAGCATTGTCACTGATTCCTTCATGTTTTATTTATGTTATTGTACTTCCACATTTGTGGAGGTATTTGACTTCTCAATGTCGATGATGCTGTACGTTGGTCGAATGCTGATTGGCCAGAGCAGAGAAGGGATTGACAAAAAAAAACAAAAAAACCCCCACAAAGATCAAAAATACAGTATGAAAAGCACAGACCGTAGATACTTTTCATTGTTTTTAACACTTGGTTTCACTTCAGCTTTTTGCATGTTATAACTTACAGCTCCTCTCCACAGCTTGCTGATGGACCGACAAGAGCACAAGCAAGAGTCGAAAGACGAGCTAAACCACATATTTCTGACATTGCCCCAATCTCACAACAGACGCGCTGCGGGTAGATGGGCAGTGCAATGCACTTCCGGCTTAAAGCCAACATTTCTGCAATAGACACACAGAAACCGCATACAATCACATCTCATGAGCAGAAAAGCAATCACACTAAGGTTAAGTTCACCTCAGGGCAGCCGCGCTGACAGAAGCTCATCACATTAGTGTCTGCTTTCATTGACTTAAACTAGCTCTTTGACAACAACTTAGCCTTTTGCTGGGTGCAACAGCCTGTGGCACATTTTTCTACAAGTGCTATTTACACCAGAAGAAAGCTCCTGTTTTGCTCCTGTTTCTCATTGAAAGTGAACATGTTTTATGTTGTTTTTGAGAGTTGTTAGTGGTGTTGACAGGATTTGGTTTCCAGGTGCTTTAGCCATTGTCCAATACCGATGAATACCAGAATAACCTACCTGTCTTCCCACAGTATTGGCGATTCCTCTGCTTCTCTATCAGGATTTCCTCTTCTTCTAATGTGGGACTCAGGTTTGACTGCACATCGACTCTTCACACCGTCTTTTGATATAAATTGGTTGCATTAACATACGTTCTAGCTCTATTGTTGTGTCAGATCATACATCTTCAACACAATCAGGAGTGGACTGGCCAACTGGCAGCATCGCTGGCCTGAAGATCACTTTGACCTGAAGTGAACATTCAGTTTGATGAATTTGAACATTTTCACATTACTACATATAATAACTGTTGATAACTTTAATTGTGTTTTGCAAAGTTTTACAATATTTTAAAACCTTTAAAAACATCAAATTAAATAAGCACCTTAAAATCCATACAACTTGTGAGGCAGAAATTCCTCTAAACACTAGAGGGCAGTGAAACAACATAATCTGATGATGAGTTTATTGAAATGGACTGGGGGGTTTTTTCTTAAGAGACATCAGTGTTTTTCCACACATTTATATACAGGAAACAACAGTCATATATAAATTAGAGAATAACAACTCACTCACGCACTCTTAAAATCACATCAATCATCACAGCACAGGAAATCTGTTCATTCAGAATTATAGAATATTCACATTTATTGTTCACATAGAAATTAAAATGTGGTTTTATAAGCATTGTTTGAGATGTAGGATGCTGTATGTTAATCTGGATTACTAATCTTGGGGCCTCTACTAAGTTTAAATATGTATATTTGAATATAAGTGTTCATATGAATTTAATCATGACATCACAGCGTTCATCTAGCCTTTGATGAAATCACATGAAATCACAGCTTGCTTGCTATTGTCTCTCAGACTTGCTGGAGTAGTAAGACTCTCCTGGTCTGTCCATCTACTTGCCGTTCTTGTGTTTCTTCTGCTGGAATTTCCTGAAATGGTTCTGGATGGTCGAGGCGGCCTTCTCAACTTCAACAGGGCTGAGCGGAGGAACAGCAGGCACTGTGCATGTCCCGTTACTGGCATTGGAGTCTGAACACGACAGGACACAGGGAATAGCCAGGGAAGTAGAGGAAATAGCCATGTAGAGAAACTCTGTAGCAATGACTGAGTTCAAGCACATTTTATATATTAGCCTTTATTGAAGCAGGCTATTTTTCTGAAAAAAAAAAAACCTTTTTAAATTGGATTTCATAGTTATTCAGAACAACTTTTCCAGGGCCAGTCATCACAGCAGAATAATAGCCTGCATTTAAAATATTTACCTAAAAATGTTACTTACTCTTTCTATACACGCCTATGCTGTTTCTCCTGAGGCCATCATACTGTAAATGAAACAGAACAGCCTTGTGTTATACAACTCATAATAGATGTGCAGGCACACACAGGAAGAAGAGTAAGTATCGGTTTAGTGCACAAGATGTAACACATACAGATTATGTGTAAGAATAATCAGTAGTGCCATCTTCTCTGGCTGACATTCAGAGTTAAACATATGCAAAACTACTGAAATACTAAACTGCAATATATGTTCCACACTTAAGGAACTAATGACCAAAGTACATGTGTGTCTGTGACTGTGCTTTCTTTCTATTTACATTCACAGTAATGACCTCAAACACAAATCCCCTTGATTGGGATTATAGCTCAAACAGAGCAGCGACAGGGGATCCATCATGCTTACCTGCCAATTTGACTGTGTGTTTTGTGCCTATGTTCAGTCTCATGTGTTGGCTTTATAACCTTGTCTATGAGGTCTGCTCCCTCCTTTCACCAGACAAGCTAAGATAAATTTAAACTGTAGCCAGTCTAAGCACATAAGGGTATAAAGCTGCTTGTTGAGTATGACTGTTGCACCTTTTCATTTAAGTACTTGTTCTCACTTTTAGCACTCCAGCTATTTCTCCTCGATGGGTTCATAAGTTTCAGTTGTATAAAGGTTTTAGCCAGAAGTAACCTTAGAAAAGGTACAAGAAAAATACAAGCCTGTCAACCAAAATTTCACTTTTACAGAAGGATGTGCGCACTTTCAACTTGGACTGAAATGTGCTTCTTTGTTCGGGGATACATATTGAAACCTTCAGGAGACATCAGATGTGAACTGTGAAGATGTAGAGGCGGTTTATCTCTCTGCTAGAATCAATTGATTCACAGACATTGATTCATCAAGGGCCAAAAGGGTGTTCTCTAACTGAGTCTGACGCAAAAGTCAACTTTATTTTTAAAAATATATTATTTTGCTGCTACTTTCTGAGTATAGAGGCAAACCATCTCTGCCTTTTTAAGACACATTCCTCTGCTTCTATGTCCTGTGCTTCTGGACTTTCTTTCTACTAATTACCAAAGAATAAGAAAAGATAATTTATGAGTATTGATGATTAAAAAAATACTACTACTATTAATGTACATGAGATCATAATAATCTTATGACGATATTTATACAGGCTAGAAATACTAAGAATAGAGGATGTAGTTTTACACAACAGTTTTCTTATACAGAGAATGAAGCTATATGAACAGAACTGATGTGGTTTATAATCTAAATTATGATCTGCAGTATTGATCTTGCTATAACTAACCTCATCTGCTTTGCTGCTCCTCCGGCTGAGAGACACTGAGTGAACCTGCCAAGGCAAAGGCTGAGACACCACATAAGGCAAAGGATCCTGTTCCCGCGTAAATCGCGCCCCTATCTGAAAATAAAAAGACGTTTTGCTTAGACATATGAATATGGGTCAAAGGTCAACAACTGGCTCAGCTCTAAATGTGAACACTGAATAACAAGAAAACAGAGAACAATGACAGGGCAACATTTACCAGTTGGCTCTAACATAACTTGCCTGAATACATCTGGAAGCTGTAAATATAAATGTGATTTACACTAACCAGCTGTTGCAGCACGATCCACATGTACATTCTTATTTTATAAAGCTATTGTCAATGCCATTTACCTACAAACGCTTACTATACTATATCTGATAGCCTCCATAAATGAAAAAAAAAGGCATCTTACTTTGTGCTAATAATCAACGTCATCATTCTTGTTGTTCTGATCTGAACAGTAGAGTGCTACCATTATAATCACCTTACCGTTTCTACCACTTTGACCACCATGTACATAGCTGTTAGCATGGTTATCAACATCTTGATCACTATTCCTTTAGGACCTTCTTCGTTTACAGTTGCTGTCTTCAGTTCTGTTGAACAAAAATAAAAATCCACACAGGCACAGGTCTGAGCAATCAGGAACAAACACACTCAATTCACTGTCTCAGTCTCTGACACATGAGGGTAAGACTGCTAAAGAGCTTTGCAGGACAGAAATAGAGAAGCAGTAATCTTTTCCTATGCACAACACTTATCCCTCAGGTGTGCATTGCACCTTTCCAGTAGCAGACGTGCATTTATTTATCAATAAAGAATAAGGCTATTGATAATTTAGGATGCATACAATTTAATTTAGCCTCTAGTTAAGTGTGTAGCAATCTTATTAATAAGCTGAACAACAACAACTTAATACTGAGACATACTAGAGTTACCTGCCAATGAGGTATTTTTTAAAGAAAGGTTTATACTTTATAGCAAATTGCTTTAATAAATGTTATGAAATTGTATTAAACAAAAAAATAAAACGATCATATCTGACCTTCTTGGGAGGATAAATCCCCTTCCTGGTATTTGTCCTATTTACGTGATTATGATGTTCTTATGTAGGTAATCTTTTAATTAATGCTTAATACATTGTAGAACGAAGAGCAATAATAAAATTAAGCAATCAATCAGTTAGATTGGTAATCAAAACCTATTATTATTATTATTGGTTTTTGGGTTTTTTTGGGGGTTTTTTGCCTGTCCCCTTTGGATCTTTAGCCATCAGAATTGTTGTCTGAAGGCCAAGAAAGATGCCAATAAGATTTACTTTATTTACTTTATTGAGTCATTCATTCAGCTTCAACTTTAATCCAGAATTCTGGACAGTGTTACTAACAAGATCGGTAAATATTTGAAATGTCTGGTTTTACTTACTTGCTATCAAGATCAAGTTGATCAGTTGTGCTTTTATTGTAAAAACAACAAACCTAAACAATCTTTTAAAAATGAGAAAAAAATATCAAACTCAAAATGCCGATCGCCTCCATCCTCTACGGATTGTTGCACTGTTTGTACATCAGGCAGAGATTTCCGATAGGACGTCTACACTAAAATTCAGAAACTGTGGTTTTCTACGAATAAACGGATGCATCAGTATGCCAGTTATGTGGTTATCTTAATGAGATAGACCTATCTGTGAGATCACACATGACTAAGGTCTGTGTGCGTCATTGTCTGGAGTGTCGCCTCTAACCCCTGCAGGCCAGTGATAATCCTTTAGGCATGTGTCTGTGAATACATTTTACCTGGCCCTGCACTGTGAAAGACACTGCTGTTATCAAGATCAAGTGTCAACCTTGTCGTGTAAAGAATTTTTATATCACTAATCACTATCTGCCCTTTGTTTATACTTGGCGACGTGTCGCATAAGCCTGAATGAAAACGAATGTTCAGTTTGTAGCAGTGGAATTACATAAAGGTGCAGGAATGTGTTATCACTGTGTATTATCACTGAACAGACGGGTATAAGAGCGCTCCTGACACTGACAAACTGGTTACACATCACATCTACAGGACAGAGGCAGTCGTGTGAAGAGAAATTGGTAAGAAAATTAGGATTTCTCGCAACTTTGACCAAAGACTTCTTTATATTTCCTGCTTTAAGAGGGATTACATATTAAAAAAGCATACTTACTGCACGAAGAGCAATAAAGAAAGAAGAGCAGCATTACAAAACTGGATCTAGGCTGTTGAGAATAGCAAGAGTGCAGCTGAAGAGCAGCAACTACATCCAAAATGTATTTCATATCTTCCTCTTTTGTTACTTAAATCTTTTTTCTCTGATGAGAGATTACAGCTGATTCAGCATTAAAAGAATCAGAATGAATGTGTAAATCAGTGATGAGTTGACATATTGCTAAATGCTCTGTCGAGCATTTAAAAATCTGTATTTACTTACCCGTGTGTAACTGACATATATATCTCATATGTAAATCACAAACTTAGTAACAGATGATTACATGCTTATATAATAATTCATTATCAATTGTTCTTGGTAATCGATTATTAGTCTTAGCAGTCACTTGGTATATGTTATGTAGCAGACTATACTATATTACCTTAGTTTGTTATTAATCTTATATCACCATTATTCTGCTGCCATTTAAGCTCTCAGATGTGCAAAGTAGCTCAAACTTAAACTGATCAAAATCTAAAGAGTTGTGAGCTTAATGCTGTAAGATTTTTACAATAATCTCGCAGTGAAGAGCTATGAGCAGTATGCTTTATCTTCTTGACACTGTACAGATCTGTCTGAGGTGAAGCCATTATATCAGTTTATCACATTTAGTTTGGCAAGGATCAGATTTTATCATAGTAAAATGAAAAAAATGAAACAGGGAAGAGAGTCTTGCTCAGTGAAGCATTTCAGGGAGATAGAAATCATGACAAACCACGTTCATTCTGTACTTTGCAAAATGATCCATCTTTTGAGATTTTCCCTCGTATTGTTGCTAGGACAACAAAGCTTTTTACAATGCCTATTCGTGTGGTATTTGCGGCATTATACCATATAGATGTTGCATTGCAGGTTACATACCAGTAATGATTTTTGCTGTTATTGTTTGTTGTTTGTTATGCTCACAGGGTTCCAGCCAATACTTCATACGTGGTGATGTGGTGAACCATTGAAGAAAAACTCATTTAAAAGAGAGCAGAGAGCAGCCTCATCATTTTCAATCATGTCACTCAAGCGTCATAAAAGACTGAGCAGCAAGAAGAAAAGTATGTTTCCTTTTTGTTCTTCTGTTTTGTTTGTCAGGGGTTTGTGCATCATTATCATGCGTTTCATTCTGAACATTGTTTTTCATACTTAGAATACTTGAACATGCTGTGGGTATCGTGTAGCTATTTTGAAAGTCAGTGAGTGAGTACAATCATCAAAGAAATGCCTATGTTCTACAATGATTTTTTTTTTGTAACTAACCTACTGAACTCAGTCACATGTCATTCGCTGACATGATGTCAGGTCCTCCTTAAAAATTAGATTTAAATCTCATTAAGATTTTTACCTGATTAAACAAAGGACTAGTTTCTTTGTATTTTGATTGGAAAATGGCAAACGGGTGCAATGATTTATTAAAAGATATGCACACTTACATGGAAAAGCAGCATATAAGGTAAAAATAGACTTTGTACACTTCTGATTAGTTTGAAAGTCAATGTTTGGAATGACTGTGTTGAAAAACAGCTTGAACTCTCTTAGGCAAGTGTTTTTGTAATTTCTTGAAGAAGTCATCAGGAATAGATCTCCAGGATTCCTGTCCTCCAGTTTCTTCATTTTTTTTTATGTACATCATGCTGAGATATGACAAGAGTTATTATAGCATGTTGGTGCAAAAATAACATTTTATGCCTGCCAATATTTTAGTTTCAGCTAAAATATTGGAACAGATGATTATCATTTTGTAAACATTCTTCTAGTAACAAAATGTCTAAAGATATCATGAAATTGAATCTTTGCTAAGTTGTCTGTTATGTTTAAAATAGCACTTGAATTAGCTGCTCTTTTTTTGCTTGAATGATTCATAGGTCATTGTTAAGAGGCTAACACACAAACAAATCATTCCTTTGAAAATGGTAAAGGACAAGGACTGGACTGAAAATAAGTGGAAAAGCAGTCAATGTCCAAAGAAAACCCTTGAAGTACTTTCAGAAAGCCTGGACAAGTATTGCTCAAGACAGCTTAAAAAATTTAAGTGTGGTTTCTTGGAAGAAAATGTAAAGAAACTAAGGATGACACAAGACTTTTGCCCAATACTGTGCATAATCTTGTGTTTTGATGTAAATAACCAGAGCCCTCTTGAGTAAAATTGTATTTAATAAGAATGCATACCTCTTATTACAATTATTATGAGTCCCACAAACAGACATACAAGTATTAGTACAGTCTGATAACCTTTGGTAACCTCATTTGGTGACCTAAAATAGTATGGGGCTACAATGATTTTGGAGATACTGTTGAAAAAAACTGTTCTTCATTTCTCATTTCTTCTCAGTGGCCAAAGTTAAATGGTGCTCATAACAAACATAATAATTTGAACAGGAATCTGTCAAGTTTTATCTTCAGAGGTATGATTAAAAGCATCTTTGTGTAATTGGACTAGTTTTTTGTAGCTATTTTCTGTCTTACTTATTTTATCAAAGTCTGTGTCGCACTTAAATGGATAAAGCTGTGTTTTTGGGCTGTTTTTTTTTTTAAACTAGAATCTCCAAAGGATAATCTCCAGGCAGAGGTTCTGCATGAGCTCGGCTTGGAGGCCTACCAGACTATACCACTGGATGTCTCATCAATGCTAGACATTATTACTTGGACTCTGGGGAACCAATCTCCTCTAGAACCCTCTGATCTACCAAAAGCTTTCCTCCAGTGCCTTTGGCTGCTCAGGCAAGATGCCCGGACTCCTTGGTGTGAGTCTCTTCATAATCTTGTTACAAACGATGACAACAATTCTACCGGGAAGGTGCTCAGTAGTTTTAAAGGAGATAGCCAGGGTGCCATCAATCCACTTGATCTAGTCACAGCTGTCTATATGTCTGCTAGCACTTTCCTTCAGCAAGAGATCTCCAAACGGATGGTGCAGTGCCAATTTTCTATACCACTGGTCCTTCCAAACAAAGATCCGGAAGAGCCTAGTTGCTTCCTTCTTTGGCCTTTAAGAGGGATTGTGGGCCAGTGGAGATCTCACCCCCTAAATAACGACAGGCGAATCCAAGAGGGGGATTTGGCAACCACATGCATGCCATTAGTTTCATTTGTCAGGCTTGGTTGTTGCAGTGTGTCCAAGTCACAGGTGCTAAACCATATGTTACGTGGAGTCACATCTTCCTGTCAGACATTTCTCCACAGGGGGATGGAAGGAGGGCAGCTGCCCAAAAGGCTTTCGAGTGGCCTGTTAGAAATTGGATGGCATCTACCCACTGGAGATAGCACCAAAGATGTCTTCCCAGTCCCTTTGGTCTTCTCCAACCTGCGGGGTGATGCCAGTGCGCATAAGAAATGTCTTACCTTTTTATGCAAGGCATCTTCAGCTATAGTTGTTTTCTGTGGAAATCTTAAGGAGAAGGAAAAACTACTTCTTGCTTCCTGTAAGGATACAAACAGCAAACTAATACTCATTGACCTTTTAGACACTGAGAGAAATGAGAGCAGAGTTGTTGGTTTTGTTGATGAGAACCTTGAAAAGTACATGGGGCTTCCCGAAGAATCTGTGATTCAGGGCAGAGGTCTGAGTGAGGACGCACTGGCTAGTAAGCTATGTGATACTCTAAAACATCTGCTACCAGACAGACTGAAACTTATTACGCTTGAGGAAGCAGCACAATTTGCGGCGGATATAGGCCTAAATGTGGACGAAGGACCCATTTGTCAAAAAGCCATGGCCTCAGTGGAGGAAGTGTTGAAGGGTTTAGATGAGGGATCTGATGAATATAGGCGTAAACAGCTTCCTCTGCAGGGGCCTTTGTGGAGCAAATTAGCAGAGCTAGAAAAAGCAGAGAGTAAGCAGAGAAAAGAAAGAACAGAAATTGACCCCCAGCTACAAAAAGAAAAGAATGACATTATGGCTGAGTTGAGGAGCTACAAAATGACCCCAGCTATGAAGATCTTTACAGATGTTCTCTTTACCAAAGATAAAGTGAAGAGAGCTTACTTTCTTAGCTGGCTCACTCTAAGACTTAAGAAAACTACAAAACAAAACAAGACGCAAGATCTGCTCACAAATCTACAGACAGTAAAGAAAGACAGCATGCTGGTAGATTTGGATAAGCTTGAACAAAGAGTCAAAGACATCCCTGGAGACACCGGTTCAATATTTCAAGAGGGAACAGAAATACAATCTGCAGGTCTAAATTTGCAACTTTCTGAGCAACAGTCTGAAGGAAGCCATCAACTGACTGTCTCAGAATCCAAAGAAAAGACCACAGAACCACTGTCACAACAGACAGACCATCAACATGACGCAAACATGGCGCAGGAGACATCCATCATTTTAAATGAAAAAGAAAATGTATTAAATTCGGTCTCTGAAGACCAAAGCTGTCTTTTAGAGTCAGGAGAAAATAGCACGTTGCGCTTCAAAGAGAAAAAACCAAATGAATCAGAGCTAACACTCACTACGGACAATTCTGGCAAGCAACAAATGAGCCTTGATGATTGTGCTGATCCCTCTTATGAACCTGATACATGCGCATTAGGTCCTGAGCACTTTCTGCGTGAGATAGGGCTAATCTTTGAGCTAGCACACATCAGCCCCAGCAGCGGAAGCCAAAATGTGTTACGTCTCCCTAGCTTAGCTACAGATCTTCTTCTTTATGGGATTCCACTTGAACTAATGGATGGAGATGCCTCAAATATCCCCATCCAGTGGCTGGGCTGTGTCTTTGGAGAGCTCAAACGTCGCCTACCACAAGAACAGTGTAGGACAAGAGTGCTGACAAATCTTGGCGACTATAATGCAAGGAATGCAGAGATTCTTTCTGCATTATTTGGAGTGAAATTCCCTGAATGGAAGAAACAAACCTCAAGAGGGGTGTACATGGTTGCCCTGTGTCTTCCTGAAAACCTCAGAAAGGACATGAAGTGTGATGTTTTGTTGCTAATTGAGGTCAGAGGTCTCTGCTCAGTCTCACTGGACAGCAAAAGAAATATACTGGGCAATGACAATGAAATGGCTACCTTTGCAACAGGACTGAGTGACTTTTTACTGCACAGCATGTCTTCACACCTTGGTTCTGATTTTGAAACAAACCTCAGTGTCAGAGTCAATGCTCTCCTGCGAATCAAAGAATATGGCTCCATGCCATTTTGCCAATTCTTTGTCCAGAACGAAAACGTAAATAGTAAATTACAAGCATCACAATTAAGGTATGTTTCTCAGCTGCTTTTGCAAACTAGCAATATTGATAAAGATGGAAATACCACAAGCTGCACAGTCTCTGTCAAAGGACCATGGAACAAAATGTCCCTCTCTGAACCAGTTGATACAGATTATAGTGGGGATGTTTTAAAGTTTAAAGAAATCCTTTTTGAAGCATTGAAGAGGAGTGCCGCTAAGGCAGAAGCCCCAGTTTTGCCTGAATTTATGAGGCGTTTGTATTCTGTTTGGGATGCGATCAAAGAGGAATCATTCTCCATTGGTCTCCAAAACACTGATATAGCTTTGGCATTTTCTTTGTTGTGCACAGAATTTTTCTACTGGGAAAACAATTTACTGGATAACATGAAAAGTTGGCTAACGGGTGCAACAAAAAAAAACTTTACCACAAAGGGAGAAGCTTTGGATGCATCTATTCAAAATGACCTTCTCAGTGAGTTAAAGAAGGAAGCCAGTGAGGAAGTCGAAGCAGAGGTGAACAAATTCAGGTCAATAGCAGAGACATATGTGATGAAAGAGGAAACTCTCAAAATGAGATCTGACAAATTCATGCCAATCCTAATGAGCAATATTGACAACCTACAGGACAGAGTAACTGATGAGATAACGGAAAGGTTGGAGGCAGTCTATGAGAGCCATTACTCTTCCACACAGCTTAAAAAATTTAAAGCATTACTGGGAAAAGAGCAAGAATCCAAGGTAGATTCACTAGTAGAAAAAAGCAAGACAACAAAAATTCTTCTGCAAGATACAGAGATAGAGGATGAATTTGAGGCTGTGTGGGGTAAGATATTGTCCAACTTTGAATTCAGGCCTTCAGAAACAGAAGATATAACTCCAAGAGTAGACGATATTCTGAGACAGAATCTAATCAGCCGTGGCCTCCAGAAACACATGAAAAAGCTTGAAATGATTGGCCAGAACCAGAACTCTGACTTCCAAGTTTGCGATGAGCATTTTGGATACCGCAGCAGATTAAAGCAAATGTTTGAAGACAACAACAAACAACACAAGGTAGAAGCTCAGCAGGTAGCAAACAATATCATAGAGGAATGCAAACAGTATATAGCAGATAAGTGTAACAAACCAGCAGATTTCTCTGACGGTTACATTACAGAGCTGTTACAAAATATTGAAAAATCTTTAAATGAAAAATCTGTGGAAACTAGATCAGCTTTTGAAGTGGATCTGAAAGTGTATCTCTGTAATGCTTCTTGCCAAGACTTTCAAAACCTGCATAACCGCTATGCCAAAGATGCAGAACTCTTGACATGTATCACTAAAAGAAAAAGCATGGACTTGGCAGAGTTTATCTATGACTTCAGGAAAAGAGACCAGTGTCAAAGGGTGGCCCAAGAATTCATCTCCATGGTCATCAAGCCCACAGTCTTGGATTACATCAACAGACCCCTGGGGATATCTATTGCAGAGGAGATCCAAAGGAAAGCTCAGCAGTATCACTCCTCACAGGCCTTCCACCAAAGCTTGCTGGAAGAGATGATTAAAGAAGATCAATTTGAAGTCTTCCTGGAATATCTGCTCTTCTATGACAACTTCAGACTCAGGAAGATCCAGAAAACAGTGACAGCTCACCTCACTGAATCAACCAACCTGGGACAATGGAGGCATCAGAGACTCTGTGAGATTGTAGGAAAAATTGAAGAAGCAGTGAACGAATCCACAGAAGGTATCAGTGGAGTCCTGAATGATACAAAGCCACTGCTGGAGAGAGTGTGTCTCACTTTAGAGAAAGGTGATGTTAATGTGATCAGGACCTGTCTGACCGGACCCCTGTTTAGCATCACTGTAGAATGGAACCGTTTTGCTAAATGTTTACTGGAGTCAGTGGCTGCAATGCAGATGGACCTTGATCAAGAGTTCTCCAAAAATGTGGATGCCACCCAATTTCTTAACTGCCTTCCAGTTCAGCCCCAAGACTACCTCTTCAAAAAAGTGAAAGGCTGTGACAAGCAATGTCCTCTCTGCAGAGCCCCGTGTGAGGAGGAGGATATGGGGCATGAGGCTCACAATGCCTTGCTCCATCGACCTAAAGGCATGCAGCCTTATGCCTCTAGTTCTATATCCTGCATCAGTTGTCCTGAAAGCATGAGTGAGGACAAGGACACACATGATATATCCACAACAAGAAATGTTCTCCATTCACTCTACCCAGACTGGAGCTTCTCTCCTGACAACCCAAACAGCACAAAGGCCAGTGATTACTGGAGGTACTGTGTGACTTAAACACTCTTTATTGTAGAAATGACAGTATTATATTAAATTTAATTTATTAAATGAACAAATTCTTCGTTACAGGTATGTGCTGGTGAAGTTCAATGAGAGGTTTGCACAGGAGTTTAAACGGGAGCCGACAAAGATTCCTGAGGAATGGAGGAGAATCACTCAGGAGCAGGCTTTAAAGAGTCTGAAGGAGGTGTTCCTCACCAGAACGAGTGTTTAAAATACTGCATTCAGTTCAGCTAAGAAAGAACATTTGTTCATATGTGAAAAACCACAATTCAACCATGGAATTTAGATGCTGGGTTTTAAGGTTTCCCACCTGATTTGAAATAGATGCAGAAGAAGGACTGCTCTGTGCTGATGTTATTTATTGTTTTTAACAGGTTCAACTCAATATTACTTAAAAAAAAATACACTTTGAAATATATATATAATATTGTAAATAGCATTTCTGTATAAACATTATAACAACAGGAAAACACATTTTATTTTTTTCATTATTTTGAAAAGGAAGCACATTATTAATGTACTTTTATAACATATAAAATCATCAAAATAAATCAAATATATTTTCCATTATAACTTTTTTTATCTTATATTTTGAAGTATAAAAATAATATGCAAATATGTCAATTATGATGTCACACCACAGTGAAGCGCAACTGACAAAAGTCTAACTTGTGAAATGTCATGTAAAATTAAACTAAAAATTAAAAACAATTAATGTCTCTTTGGTAGCACCGGCTGATATTTGCTCAATTTAGTCATGTGCTTCCCATAAGTAGATTCCTCCATCTGAATTTTAAAATATTTTGTCATCTGGTGTGTTCACCTGCTAAGTGTTGGCAGGTGAAATTTTACAAGCACTATATCTCAAAGGCTACATACACTATCTCTTTGTCTGGACGCACATGGAGAAGCTCTAATGACACTAATGTTTGCAGCTTCCTTCTTGCCTATTCAAGAAAAAACGTGTAGTACACACCCTACTGTTTATCAGTAAGGTGAATCACAAGGGGAAAATTGTATGGAGAGATAAGTGAAATGGTGAAATCCACAAGAGGGCAATATAGGATGGAGGAATTCAATCTGAGATTTAAACAATTTTCACAATGTTTTGGTTCAAACTTTAAAACCTGGGAATCCAACAACATATTTCATTCTTAATTTTACATACCTGCTGCATATTCTCCTCAATACATTGTAAAGAATGTGTGGTGATGACCACTACAGTCTGGGATTTGAAGTGGGCTGTCTGTAACAGCTTTCCTGCACCTTCAGCTAAATCAGATAGAAAGGTTAATGCATGATATTGTTAATGTATATACACCCTCAAGCCATGTTTTTTTTTCTCCTCGTTCCTGTGATGCATTCAAGGCGCAGACATAATGCAAGTAACTAGCCCTGCAGAAGATGAGCAAGCATAAACAGGGCACCTTTTCTTTTTTTTGAGTGGGAGGTAATTTCATTTTTTTCAAGCAGCTCAACAAATACCACCAAACAGACAATTCTTTCTGCATGCACATGCACAGTTTGTCACAAAACGTGCCTGCTAGTTAGCTAAACGCACGGTATTTCTCAGGGAGAGTGAGATGGACTGAGAGATGGAGAAAGGTGTAAGATTGGGATAGTAGTGGGAGATTAGAGATTATTTTTAATGACACTGACTGCTCATCAAGTGACATTTGCTAAACTAGAAATTTAGGAATTGTGTCCTAAATCTTTTCACACAATTTTTCTGTTAATCAAACAGGAGGAAAGTACTGTGGGCATAGTAAGCAGTTTGGGACAGTAAAGTGCAATTTAACTGGCTAGTTTGCAATGTTGCGGTCAAGTTCCCAGTGATTCACTATATACTGGACTCCATAGCAGACATGATGTTTATGGTCAGTGTTAGGTTACATCAAGGGTAGCAGATACCAATTTATATTTAAGGTGATGATGCTGATGAGTTTCATGCACCTTCAGCTTTTATACTAATGCCATAGTGTCTAAGGGTTGGAAATCAGCCATACAGCCCATGAAACATCTGCTTATATCTTGCTGAATTCTGGCTGATCCCACAAATACCAGTGAATAACAGAGTAGCAGCACATGTTAGCTAATCACAGTCTCACAAAATAAATTATTGTGTGACTTATTTATAAGTAATTCTTTTCACCTGATTTTAGGGTTCCCCCACCTGCCACCCACTTTAAACTGTGCCTATAGCCATATGTAAAAAAAAAAAAGCTAAGTACACCTTTGCTACTTCCATAGGTATTAATTGAGTAAGTAGCAGTCGGGTGCCTTTAATCAAATCCAGTTGATTAGCTGATCATCAAGTAGGACCGCCTCCATAGAAGCAAAGGTTTTGGCAGTTTGCATAATTAGTTGTGTGTTAACACAATGCTACAGTCTTCACAGGAATGAACATTCCAGGTAATTCAGCCCAAGATGAGACCACACAATGCTCAGAGAAATTGCAAAACACCCAAGTGCAACATCTCAGACTCTAAACATGCTAACTAAGGGCTGTAATGTAAAGTTCATTAAGTTTGCAAAGTAGCACCTAAACAAACCACAAGATTTCTTGAACAACCTCCTTTGGACAAATGAGACCGAAGTAGAGATGTCTGGCTCTAACAAAAGGTTTGACAAAACCAAACAGAATAACAGCACAAACACATCATCCAAACGGTCAAGCATGTTGGTGGAGGGATGATTATTTGGGCCCATTTTAATGCCGCAGGACTCAAGGACACCTTGCAGATACCAAAGTGTTCTAGAGTTAGACAGGTGTCAGATGGTCTCATCTGTCTGAGAGCTAAACCTTGGTTAAAATTAATCAACAATCATTGTCCGGCCACAGGACTGTGTTCGAATGTTGATTAAATGGTTGCAATGGTCCATTCAAGGAGCAGACCACAACCCTGTGATGTGCTGCCTGCAAACCTCTGAAACGACACTGTAAAGACGAGCGCATCAGAAACCCTGTTAGAAACAGATTAGCTGATACAGGTAAAGGTTTCTTTTTCATATGACTGTACACCTGTATACATTTAGGTGTAGCACAGATAAAGTAATTTTCACGTTTCACTAATTATTCCCCAACTTCTTTAAATATCAAAATTGTTTCATCCTTGAATAAAAACACAGCTGATTTTGTTCACCTCACACTTAGCATATACAAACATCATAACACAGCATGAACAATATTCTCAGTTATGGCATCAATTAATGGATTTTCATAAAAAGCCAACTCTGTGTGGATTTATAATACACACAGATACCCAGCAAGGGACCATAATCTAAACTCTCTTTTCATGCAAATTATTTACAGCAGACGTATAAACATCCAACTGCCATTATGGTTTATTTTTGCCAGTGAATGACCTCCTCCAGCTGTGCCTGTTTGATGAATAATCACAGTATGGTCTGATCTGCCTTGCAGCCAGATGGAGAAAACAAAGCTTTACACTCAGCTGCATGCCAAACGCAGCAAATTTGTAGACCAGCAGGAGAACTTTTTTTTTCTGTTCTACCTGCCAGATCGATTAAGCCTTCTGTTTGGTGTCTTGTCAAACCCAGAAGAAACTAAACAAAACCAGGATGGATAAAGGGACAACATCTGAGGAGGCTGAGATAATAGAAAAGGTAATGAAGGAGAATCCAAATCAGACACGTAAATAATTAGGCACATATAGTAAATGGTAACAAGCCCGAGGGAATTGCAAATAATTTGGTAAAGGGGGGAAAAAAGTTGTGTGTGTAGCTTTTTTTTCTCCAAATATATTTCAGCAATACAGATCTGCAGTGAGGGTGAGTTTGAAGAGAGAGACAGAAAGCAGACCTCACTGTGGCTTACAGATTTATATCTTACATCATCCAAACAGTGCTGAAAATTCTTAGTGAAAGCTTGCTTTAGCCATTTTAAATCCCTGTTTCCACACGTAAACAGGAAAAGGGAGGTACACACAAACATCCAGAGATAATGGAGTGAAAACTGAGCATACACTAAGGACTACAAAGCAACCCATCTTATTTTCCGATCTGCAATTAATTTATATTAAAGAAATAAGGTTGTGTAATGCTGTTTCACTAAATTCTTACAAACTACCTGTTTAGTCATTTGTGTTATATGCTTTTAAAGTGTAATGGCTAGTAGCAAGGTGCATAATCTAGGGCTTATAAACGATACTGTTGTTCTTGTTAACACTTGCAAAAGCTTTGATGTGGAACTTAGAGTTATCTTGCCACGCTGACACCTCAAATAGGTTAAGAAGTGACATCGATATGAGGCCTTTCACGGTGTTGATGGGGCTGACAGATTTTCACCCTTGACTTTGTTGCAAATAGCTGTCTGACAACTGTGACCGCAAACTGCCTGTGACACACAGGTTTTAACCTTTTTAGTCAACAGCGAACAGACTAACTGATGACAGACAGTGTCTACCAACCTGAGAATAGCAATGACAAAAGTAGCAGCAAGCTGAATTTTTTTACACTAAACTGAAAATAAATGATAGCAAATGTGGCCTGAAAAATTGTCACCGCCATTACACAAAGCATTGTAGCAGTATACCGAATCTGTGTATTTCTGTCATCGATAGCCGTGTAAAGCAAGCAGGATAGGACCTAAACAGGGTTTCACAGGCAAAAATAAATTCAAACTCAGCCTTATTGATAGAAACAGAGAAATTACAAGCTAAACTGGAACTTACAGGAAACTAAACACACAGCCATGATGGAGATCGTGACACTGGACAGAGGGAAACAGAGGCCTTAAATACACAAGGAATGATGAGGGAACAGGAAGTACACAAGCAACACAGCTGAGACAAATTAGACACGACTTGACAGGGGAAGTAGAACTAAACACACTGAACATGGAACATAAGACTTTCACAATAATACAGGAAATGATGGAACGCAAAGCTGATACATGCACTTGACACAGGAGTTGAACAAAGGCAGACAAGAGCGGGAGCACATGAGAGACATGATGGGCTGGGGAAACATGGATAAACATGGTACAAGGAAGGGAACATGGGAACAGAAAAGGGAAACAAGACACAAGGACACACAGAGAAACTCAAGACAGACTAACCTAAAGACTGCTAATGAACCTAAAACATAAACCATAATAATATAAAATGACACCAAAACACAAACACTCTGAATACTCCGAAGCATCCAAAATTTGTGCATGTTCTAAAGGTCAAACGAAGGTCAAAGCACAATTAATTATCTGCAGTCTCACATTATTTTAAATGCAATAATGATGGCCAGCTTGTTGCACTTACAAAGCAATAAGGCACTACAAGGCAGTTCCAGCTTCAGTCAAAAATGGCCAATGTGATAAGGCATAAGCTTTGTGTCCTTGTAAATGAGAGCTCCCATCCAGCTACTGCCATTCCAGATAAGAGTAAACAGCAGCAAATAGTGCCTGAGCTAACAAAAGCATTTCAAACCACAACAGTTCTCAAACACAATCCAACTATGATATTCTCATTTGTCCTGGCAGGTCACTGCTCATTCTGTCCCCAAGCCTCCAGCATTGACTTGTTTTAAGACAAAATCAGCAGGAGGCAACATTAATTTATAGGCAGTGGGCTATCAGTAATAATAATGATGGGCAAACAGTCCTATTTGGTGCAGTCTAACAAACCACAAGAGTTATGTGTTAAAATCTCCTTCCCTGATGCATATCTGTAGTGCTTCTTCAGTGGAGTGTGAATACAGACATACAGAGTTCAGAACCGAGACAGGTCATGAAAGACAATTTTATCTGCCATGACTGTTTGTTACAAAACGTGTCCTCAAGGGGAACTGAATCGAAATTAGACTGTCCGTGACATTTAGCAAGGCAGACATGCTTCACTGCTACACCCTCGAAACATCGTAGTTCAGCGGCAATGTTGCTGTAAATGTGAAAATCAGCATTCATCTCTTGAGCAGGGATCTCATTTTTCTATGAAATGCTGCTTTACCTATGTGTTTCGCATGTTTCAACAAATTTTCCAAGATCATGATATTTCGTTTAAAAATACACCTACAAATTATGTAAAACAACACATTGAAAGAGATTCTCAACCATGGTCAGCTTTTATACTCGGGGACCACTGTCACATTTCAAATGTTTGAGAAAGAAGTTTAATTGAAAAGTGATTTCACCATCAATCTTCCCAAGTGGATTTATTTACATAATTGCCTGAAGCCCAGGCTAACACACTGCAGTTCAACTGCACTTTTTAAACTTCCACAAAGAGCTTCACAATGTCTTTCTCTTTCAGCACACACACATTTCACACAGACACCATTACCAACCAAGTTGTCGTGCGAGGCACACACACTTCCTGTTGGGGACAATTTGGGTTTTAGTGTCTCCCTGTATCACACTTTGTCATGAGTAAAGTACAGCGGCCCCAAAGTGCTAAACATAAACCCATCAGACGAAACAAAAACTCAACAACTACAAGAAAACCACCACAGTACTTCACAAAACACAGCAGCAATTCAAAGAAACATAACACCCCCCCAAAAAATTGTTGTACCACAAGAACAAAAAAAATAACAACAAAAAAAACAACTTTCGGAACGTTCTCAGTGGTGAACGACCACTTCCTGTCTTATGACACAATCCCACAGTCGCATATGCACAGTACTCGGCTGACTTCCTCTTAAACTTTGAATAAAAGGAAAGTTTTTTAGTGTCTTACGTTGAAAATAAGGCAGAATGGTTAGCACATTCTTTTCTTTCATCCTCTCATAATTAGCTTATATGATACACAAATGAAAACAACGGGAAGTGACATCAGCCTGTCCAATCACAGGCAAGAAATATGTCCTCTTTGTTTCTGCAAAGCGCAGTGTCATGTTAGGAAAAATGTTCAGTTTTATATTTGAGTGCATTTAAGTCTTTTTTTTTCCCCTTCGCCCTTGTTGTACTTTCACTTTTGTATTTTTTTTATCCATTAGGTTACCTGAAGTAATGCTATTTTGTTTTGTTGTTGTGTTTTCTGTGCTTTCTTTCTCCTAAATAATGTTAGAGTTCCTCCACAGTTCCTACTGAAAAGAAGACTTTACTTTGAGAAGTTCAAATCTGTTCCAGTGTCACTGGCTACAGATTTAACATTAACAGATGCATTCATATTAAGAGTATACTGTTCAGGGCAATAACTATGTTTCAATTTTATACAAATTGCAAATCCTGGGATTATATTACAGCTTGTATTTAAGAAAGTTTAGATGTACATTTTCTCACTTACACTTTTCTAGGCTATACAGTGCAATCTGAGTACTTTCCCCTACTTACTATTGCAAGGTTAAATCTTGTTAATATATGATCGATTCAGCAATATCTTAACTGGTGTTAAGTATACTGATTCTTCAACTACATTCATATTGGGATAGTGATTTAAGTATTTTCTTTTGCCATTTCTGTGTAGTTAACTTCCAAAATGAAACCATTTTGAGCCATAAAAGAAAAATAATGATTATTGCTTTCCTACTGTAATTGCACTTCCATTTTCTTCCTTCCTGACCACTGCGCAAGCATGCTGAGTTAATGCATTCATCAGGCCGCCAATGTCACATACTTGACCTTTTTTTAGGGAAGTGCAAAAGGCTCAGTGCTCACACAAGGACAACTTCATCGTGAATAAACCTCCTGAATCTCTGCTAAAGGAATAAAGATAGTGGCCATGCTTCAGCAAATACATGACACTTATTCATCTATTCATTTTCTTAACCTCTCAGCCAATACAAGGTTGGACTAGACTGGCACATAAGCCACCTGACATTGGACTATAGGCAGGTTACACCATAGGCAGGTCATCAATGGATCACATGCTCAACCATCTTCATCTACTTTATTTATGGCAAAGTGACTGAATTACTTTGAACAAATCAATTAACAACATTTAAAATTAACAACATTGTCTATCTTTTTTCACAGAGCTGAGAAGCAGAAAACATTATTATAATTAGACAAATCCACATGTCCTAAAGCTAAACTTGTTATATAGGCTAGCAAAGTTTACTGTATACACACAATGAATTTTACATGTGTATACAATTCTTGACACATCAATATGGCTCTACAACAAAGTAATTTCACACACAGGCAATCTTTCAATTACACAGACGGCTGGGACACACCGATAACAAGGTTATATAAATGTGTGCTTATGTCCTCAGAGCCTGAATGCTGAAAGCTTATTCATATATCAGTGGAGAACAGAAGCATCTATAATTACTTAGTCAGTCTAAGAAACCAGAGTGGTATTTTATAAAGCCATGCATGACCACATATGAAAGATGTTACATTTAGGAGCTGGCAAACCAAAACTGTCAAACTTTTTAAGAACTAAATGTTTGGCATTTTATCAGCCAAACTTGCATTTATCTTTTTGTGATGCTCTATGTTTATTTTTCCCCTTTCTGTTTCTTTGCAAGCTTTCAGAGCTGTGGCTCAGACAGATCAAGCAGGGATTGTTTCTTACCAACACCTTCAAAAAGACCTGTTGCATAAAGTCCCTCTGAAATATAGCAATCCATATCTACAGCTTTCCCTTATCTGTCTCTTTTTACTCTGCTATTTTTTTTAATCTTTTTATAGTGAGACCTCTCAATAGGTTTGTCAGAATAGTTTGTTCTACTGAGTGCCCCATCTGGTATTGAATTGATGCCCTCAATTGATGTAGTGAGAAATGGTCAGAACTCAAGTGTTAGATACTCATCAGACACCCAACAATAGTGATAAAGAGCTGCTTTTAAAAGAGAAATATAGAGTGAGCGTGTGTAAGAGTGAGAGAGAGAGCGGGAAATGAAGGAAGAGAAAAGGCAGCAAATGATTACTTGATGTTTTTTATGTTGATGTGTCAGCAGGTAGTTCTCTGAGGTGGCATTGCATCACAAAAGGCAAAATCAAGATGAATTGGTATTTAAGTGGCAGCACATGACTTTAGAAGTATTAATACTTTTAATCTTTTAATTTTGTTTAGGGTCAATTTGGCATAAAAAACAATAGATGGATGAATTTATGATTGTTTGGCAAACTGTGCAGAAGCAGCAAGTGTATGTGAGTTTACATCAAACTCTGTTGCTTATCTGGTTATACTGAATATATAGAATTGCAGCTTTTTTTCTGTTAATGCAATGACTGGACACCAAGTCTTCTTCATTTCCCTGAAGACCAAACAGTAAATATCGCCTC